CGCCGTTCAGGAATCCCTTCGGGGATCATCCGTAAAAATTGGAACGATACAGAGAAGATTAGCATGGCCCCTGCGCAAGGATGACACGCATAAATCGAGAAGTATCGCACTTTTTAACTTTTGTAACTCGAATTTCATCTAGTCAAGGGTTTTTGTAGCACCTCACAAAGACACCTTGGACCCCGATACAGCAATACAACGCAGCACGCTCTCGTTGACTTACTTCCATCGATATATAAATCATCGCGGACTACATGATCTTCTGGGTACTCCTTGACTTTTTCCAGCAATTACCTCCCAGTCCAAACGCGGCGGAGCTCGGGTAGTTGTGTTACTGGTGCCCAAAACTGCGCAGGTCGTCGGTGTGTGCTATCCGGGAATAGATGATGCAAAAGGGTTTTTGGGCAAGCACAACGCTGTCGATTCCTAGTATGGCTCCATTGGCAGCCGGTGGAGATCCATTATGCATTATTTTCGGATTTCTTTTGGTCCATGCCGAAGCCGGGGCGACTTCGCAGAGACACATGTGCCCGCCACGTAGACGATTCGGACACCGCCGAGGAACTACGACAGTGGTACGTTTCGAGAGTCAATTCCTTCATCGAATTCTTTGCTGATGTCGTTAGTATTACGGACGGATGTTGGAATGCGATCTTGCAGCTGACGTCTGCACCACAAGTCAGAGTCCAAAGTTGTCTTGTGGCTCGGACTAAATAAAACCTAGTTCTAGTTCCCCACAGACTTATTTCAACACCAACATGATCTTTGTCCCCCTATAGACACCTATCCGCATCGGCAGCCAGGAAAAGGGTAAAAAAGTGCGTTTCCAGGAGCCAAGCTGTGACGCATTCGCCAGGCTTCCCTTACGACGTTTGATCGAAATCGCATTGGGTGCCGATCCCCACCTTCCACCATGCGGGTATCGTACACGTCGAGCAGCTCGTCGAGCAGCGTGGGACGTCGTAAGTGACCTTGTTCGTCGAAGTTCTAGTCTGCGACTTGGCCGATCGTTTGACATCACGACATTGTTTAATCTTCCATAGTCCACACAACACCATGACCACCAAGAACCTCTTTACGCCTCTCACGCTCGGCCGCTTCACGCTGTCCAACCGCATTCTCATGGCGCCGCTCACGCGCTGCCGCGCCACCGCCGACGACCACATTCCGTCGGATGCCATGGTCCAGCACTACGCTGACCGCGCGTCGTCGGGCCTAATCATCACGGAATGCACGATGATCACGCCCAACTCGTCGACCTTCTGGACCGAGCCGGGCGTCTACTCGCCCGAGCAGTTGGCGGCGTGGAAGAAGGTGACCGACGCGGTCCACGCCAAGGGCGGTACCATTTTTCTCCAAATCTGGCACGGCGGCCGCGCGGCGCACCCGGACCTTAACCGCGGTGCCGACAACGTCGCGCCATCGGCGATCGCGATTGACGGCGACACGCACGGTCCCAACGGCAAGGTTCCCCACGCCGTGCCTCGCCCGCTCACGCTCAACGAAATCAGCGACCTTGTCGGGCAGTTTGCGACGGCAGCCAAGAACGCGGTGGAGGTCGCGGGCTTTGACGGCGTCGAGGTTCACGGCGCCAACGGGTACCTCATCGACCAGTTCCTTCAGGATGGCAGCAACACGCGTGATGATGCGTACGGCGGGTCGATCGAGAACCGGGCGCGCTTCTTGCGGGAGATCTTGACGGCGGTCTCGGATGCGATTGGTGCTGACCGCGTCGGTGTTCGCTTCTCGCCCGCGGGTGGGTACAACTCGATGACCGACTCGGACCCGAATGCGGTGGCGACGTACCTCGCGCAGACGCTCAACGCGTTCAACCTTGCGTACGTGCACATTCGCCGAGGAGGCTCGAACGAGCACTTGGCGATCTACCGCAAGCACTACAAGGGCGTTCTCATTGGCAACCAGTCGTACACGCGCGACGAAGCCAACGACGCGATCGCGGCCGGCGAGCTGGACGCTGTGGCGTTTGGCGCAGCGTATGTGGCCAACCCGGACCTCGTCGCTCGGTTTGAGAAGAACGCGCCGCTGAACCAAGGCAACCCCAACACGTACTTTGTCCAAAGCCTCGAAGGCTACAACGACTACCCGACGCTCGAAGAGGCGACGGCGTAAGCATTTGACATCGTTTTAGCTAACATCAATGGATCCAACTTTATTCATCAATAATGCGTTAGCTTATACAAGATCGCTTGCGGTGAACGTATGGTGGTCGAACGAGACGCAGCAGAGAATGTTGCGGCTCTTGAGGCGCGTGGGACCGTGCTGAGTATTTCCGACGACGATTTCAATGTACAGGGCAGGATATGGGACTCGAGGGACGGCCGCTACGGTCTGAATGAGACCTGTACACTGCCTCAACTGCCACGGGGACTTTCCACCCGGCAAATGCACAAATACAAAGGCGCGCCGCGTTTGTAGTTTGAAATATGGATGCGGGCGGAGCCTTCGCGCCGAAATCGGCACAACAAACGACAAAACATCTGTTTTTGAGGAGCAGCACAGAGATCCTACGCGTGCTAGAGTATTGCAATAGGTACCACGCGACCATTTTTACCTTTACCGTCCTATCCCATCCAGTGCTGGATAGCTGCTCTGAATACAGTAGCCGTCAGCAGTACTGCCACTGTCGTTTGGGGGTGTCGGCGATGAAGGACTCGTCGCAGTGCGCAATCGAACTGATTGCACTGATCCTTGACAACACAGTGAGAGATCCATCGCGTTGACGTTCAGCAACACTTTCAACTACCAACTGCATGGCGAGTAGCGCCCAGTATACACGAAAATACCTTCTCCAAGAGCATTCGTTTCTCTATCGCCTCGCAGACAGCATGATCGTTGTGCCAGAAGGAAGACCTTCCAGCCGACGTCGGCGCCGCGTAACTGCGCCCGGAGACGAGGCGTGCGTTACGCA